CCCCCCCCGCACCCCGGCCCCCGCCCCCGCCCTCATTAGCATAGCAGCTGCTCGCCGAGCCGGACGGCGCGGAGGAAAGGGCAGAGGCCTCGGGAATGAATGGGGGGCCGCGGCTTTGGAGGCGAGAGAAGAAAGACCGACAGACGGACGCGCGCAGGACGGTCGGAAGGACGGCCCCGCAGAAGAGCGCGCGGGCGGGCGTGGGAGGCTTCCCGCGGCGGGGGCGGCTCGGGGCCGTGGAGCCGGAGGGTGCGGGTTTGGGCGGAGGGCGGCCTCCCGGGGACCCGGCGCCCCGAGGGTCTGCACCGGAGAAGGAGCGGCTGCAGAGGTTCCCAGCCGGGCCACGGCCGCCTCCCCTGGCCTGCGCCCTCGCGTCCCGGCCTGGGGTTCGTTCCCAGCTGTCCCCGGCGCGGGCTTCCTTTCCCGTCCTTCAAGGCCCCGGTGGACGCTGCCTCCTCCCCGCGGGCCCAGCGAGCTTCGGGGGCCGCTGCCTGCGGGAGGTCAGAGGCTTCTGCTCCGGGTGCTCCCGCGTCGCCCCCGCTCTGTCCCGACCTCCCGCTCTCCCCCGCACCCCGCCCCCTGGCCCGCTCCCGCGCCTGCTGGCTTTAGACATCACTCTTTCTAGCTGACCATCTTCCTGCACTTCCTTGTCTTTCCGTGGCGTCCGTTCCAACGTAAGCGCTTCCTGCCTTCAGCCGGGGTCAGATCAGAGACAGACAGTTGGACGGGAGCCCAGCAGTCCTGGCGGGGTATGTGGGGCAGGCCCTGACCTTGCCGGCACTGTCTCCTTTCTCTCAGGGGTTCCCAGGGACGCAGCCCTCACCTGCCAGCCCCTCCGCCCTGGCTCCCCTCCGCGCCTCTCGGCTGGACCCCTCCCCGGGCCTCCAAGGCACACCTGCAGATCCAGGAGGCCGGAGCCCCCACCCCCCGCCCCACCACGTAGGCTGGGCCACCCAGTCCTGCCTTCTCACCCTGGTCAAAGGGCCTGCCTGGGGTGGGGGGTTGGGGACTCCCCGGTAACTGCCGTAGGCCAGTACCCACCATAGCTGCCAGTACGCACACCACCCTGCTGCAGCAAGTGATCTGCTGAGCACAGAGCCCCTGGAAGAAGTGTGGGCACAGGCCACTGAACTCGGGAGGGAAATGGGCATGAGACACACCGCAGCTTTCCCCTGGCCACAGCCAGACACCAGGGACTTCCTCCTCTTTGCCCGTACCCCAGAGCTGCCCTCTCCCCTTGCACAGGGGCATACATGTGCCCACTCTGTGGCCAGGGAGGCTCACTCTTGGTGCACACGTGGCCAGCCTCCCCTCCACTGAGCTGCCCGTTCTTGCAATGTGCTGCCCAGGGCTCCCCAACAAGGACAAGCCCGTGGACTGTGCCCAGCGCCCCCAGACCTCCCTCCTGGGTTCTGGACACCTGGACCTTCCCAGCAGAGATTTCATTCATAGATCTGACCCCAAGAGGTGGGGTCAGTCGGGGTTTCACAGTGTGTCTGCCTGCACCCCTGCCCCCCCTCAGGCCATGCCAGGTGAGGAAGCTCAGCGAGGCTGGCCCCAGCCATCCGGGCTGGCCAGTGCACACAGCGGCACCTGGGGAGGAAGCAGATGCCCCCCCGCGGCTCCACCCTCCCAGCCCTCCTCTCAGCTTCCCACCCACCTGCCCGGCCAGGCTTCCTTTTGTTCCTGCTGGAGAGAAAAGCAGCCCAAGGCCTTTCTCAGTCAAATGTATCTTTCAGAAGAGAGAATTTAAGAGTTCTTTTCCAGGATCCTGCGCCTGGGAGGCCCCCGGTGCCAGGCCAAGCCTCTCCACGGTGGGAGAACTTCCCAGATATTGCAGGGGTAGCAACTGGCTGGGACCCCACCCACCTGCAGGCTAGTGCCAAGAACAAATGTTACCTTGGTTTTGTCAGACCCTGGCTGGGGAAGGGTGGCGTGGTCCAGCATACCCCTGGGCCGCCCTGGTGATGCCCAGGCCTGCCCTCATTCTCTGGATACCCCAATTGTGTCAAGGTTCTGTGGCCACTCTCCTTTCCAACAGCTGGGCACCCCCAAGCTGGGTGAAGGCAAGACTTCCCAGAGCCTGCTTCAGGGAGCTGGCCCGTCTCCTGGGCCAATTCCGCAGGGTAGGAAATGCGTAAGCAACGGAAAATGGGCCTGGAAAACCGCGGGTAAACAGGGAGGCAGACGCAGAGCAGGCAGGCACGCGGAGGTGGGGTCTGTGGCAGGGCCGAACTGCAGGACAGCTGGGGAAGCAGGTTCCCGGCCCTCCGCAGAGGAGTCTGAACGCACGAAAAGGGGTTACCTTGGAATTCCCGGGCTTTGGCGTTGTCCAAGCTCTCCGCTGGCTGCTCTTGCTGGGGGGTGTCTCAGGAGTGGCCAGGAGTCCCTGCTCGTTTCTGTCAGGTGCTGGCAACAGTCACCCTGCTCTGCTGTCTCCTCTTGCGAATGTGGGTGCTCAGCCCGAGGCTCAGGTCTACCTCAGGGTCCGTGCTCCTCAGGGTGCCGGACTCCAGGCCTGTGTGGGCTTCCCGATGCCTCCAGGGGACTTTCTGCTTGTCAGGAGTGAGCAGCTATGGTATTTGCCCCCAGTTTAAGAGATATCCCTTCTGTGCAGCAGGCACCCTCCAGCGTGACCCTCTGGGGGTCGGAGTGGTCAGGGCTTCAGGCCCAACTCTCCCCTCTTGGGGGTGGAGGTCTCAGCGGCTCTGCTGGGGAACACAGGAGAGGCCGTGGCACAGCTCTGGGCACTCTGGAGGCGCTGGGTCCTCAGGAGTCCTGTGTGCGGCCGGGCTGGGCTTGTCCGTTGCGTGGGGCTGGGAGCCAGCTGACCAGGCTCTGTCTTCGGGCAAACACAAGCCAAGCATTGTGCAGACGGCACCCACAAACTGTCGCAGCCTGACCCTGAGCCCCAAAGAGGATGTTCCGCCACTTGTGCCAAAGCCAAGAAGGACCAAGAAACTTTTTCTTTAATATCAAAAGATCAATGAAAAATTTATTTATAAATTTTTCCCGCTGGGCTACAAGTCAGTATCGTACACGGGGATGTGCTGCACAGACTTTATCCAGTTAGAAGTGATCATCCCGTGACCCACACAGCTTCCATATGAGCCTAGAAAGTCTTAACATTAATTAACATAATTAAAAAGGTATTTGCATCTAGAAAAAATATACAGAAGAACTCCTTGTGGAGTGATCTGTGCCTCCATTTCAATGTCTGCTTGTTGCGCTGACATTATCAATATATTCTTCTCACACAACGTTTTATAAAAAGCCACAGAGGGCCGCCCGAATCGGACCGGCCACGCACAAAGGGCCTCCACCCACCTGTGTCCTCAAGTGCTCCCCATTTCTGCACGAAGGGTCAGCAGCCCTTCCATGAAGGGGAAACCTCATTTAAATTTGAATAATTCAGCCTCCCTTTTATTTCTCAGGATCAAAACAACAAGGGGTGTGGGGCTGCATAGAAAATCAGAGCCACAGAAACCAGGAAGGGCGCCTTTCACCGAAGTGACGCAGGAGAACCTCCCGGCCCCAGGTCTGGGCGCAGCCCCTCCCCCATGGCAGGGTTTCGGATTCGAAGGGGGGGTCCTCGACGCTCTGGGAGGCTGGAAAGGGGCAAAGCGGTCCTTCAATTCACTCGGCCATTAGCACAAGAGATTCACAGTCTTATAGGTATTTTATAAAAATATAAATATGGGTACACTCTGTTGCCTTCACAACGCTGGATACATCGCCCTTTAAAATTGGGTTTATAACCAAGGTTCAAAAAATACACCTAAAACTTGGCTTAAAATATGTTAATATTTTATATTGTCATAAATGTTATGACATTTAATTGTGGCAAATCCATTTACTTTTTTAAAAAAGTGTGCAACCGTTAACTGATAGAACGCACTAGAAAAGGTAAGGAACGTCCCCTCAGCCCTTCCCCGCCCCCGTGTCCCCGCCACCCTCCGGCGCCAGCGCGCTTCCAGGATCCCGGGAAACTGCTAAACAGGCCGGTTTGGGGGTGGTGGCCTCATCCAGGAGGGCGGGGGAGAGAGGCCCTGGGGCTTCCGAAACTCACGATCTGAGGGAGGGGGAGGAGGAGGGCGGGGGTCGACGTGGGGAGCAGGGGCGGGCCGGGGGCGTGGGGGCAGCACGGGAACGCCACGGGCCGGGCGGCGTTTTCAGTGCAACCAAGAACTGGGAGACTCGTTTTTAAAGACTAGAAAACGACGCGTCCTCCCCCATGACCACGCACAGTGTTTTCCAAACAAAAACCAGGCGCACAAACTTCACCCACAAATGGACACACACAAGATAAATAGTCGCGAACACCCGGAGCAGCGGAGCGTGTCCCCGGCCGCGCGCGAGCGGCGCACGGCGGCCCTGGCGGCTGCTCCTCGGCGCCGGGCGGGTCCTGCGGGCGGCGGGTTAGCTCCGAGTCCGCCGCGCCCCCGCCGCCCGCCTTTCGCCTTCGGGACAAGCGTTTCGCGCGGGGATCCGGTATCCCGGGATTCCGAACTTGCCGGTTGCGGGACTCAAATTTCAAAGGGGATTGGAGGCGGCGGGCGCGGCCGTGGGAAGCGGCTGCGGCCGCGGGGAGGCGCTCGGCGGCGGGGCTGCCCGACCCCGGGGCCGGCCGGACGCACGCGCCGCATCCGCCGTGGCCTGACCCGGCGCGCACCGAGGTAGTTGGCGGGAGGGTGCAGCAGGGACGACGCGCGCGGGCGGGGCGGGGTCGCGGCGGCATCACCGGCCGCCGGCCGCGTACTTGGCCTTGGTGATGAGATAGAGCACGATGTCCTGGTGGCCGCCGAACGCCGCGATGTGCAGCGCGCTCCAGCCGTCGCGGTTGGCCAGGCGGATGTCGGCGCCGAACTTGACCAGCAGCTTCACCAGCTCCAGGTTGCCGTCGATGACCGACTGGTGCAGCGCCGTCTGGCCCTCCGGCCCGAACGAGTTCACGTTGAACTCGCAGCTGGTCATGTTCTGCAGCAGCGACTGCAGCTCCTGCGTGTTGCCCTTGCGCACCGCCTCCTGGAAGATGCGCTGGGTCTGCGGCGCGGAGCAGGTGGACAGCTCGGCCTGGCTCATGCTGCCGCCGGGCGCGGGCCGCGGGCCGGGCCGGGGCTCAGCGCGGGCGGCGGCGGCTGCGGCGCAGGCCCCCGGCTGGCTCGGGGCGCGCCTCGGCGCATGGAGGGCGCGGCGTCCCCGGGCCCCGCACGCCGCCTCTGGGCGCTCCGGGCGCTCGGGGCCGGGGGTCGCCGCCGCGGGGACCCTGCCGCATCCAGCCGCGCCCGGGTGGGCGACGGGGGAGCGCGCTCGGCTCGCGGGGCCGGGCCCGGCCGGGGACGGCGACGCCGCGCGGTCCCGGCGCCTGCTTGGTTCGGCTGCGGCTCCCACGCGGTTCCCACGCGGTTCCCACGCGCCTCCCCACGCGCCGCAGCTCTCGCTCGCCTCCCGCGCCGGGGCGCCTTTTACCTTCTTTATATTTGCATAACAATGGAGGCCCGTGACGCGCGCGCCGGCGGCCCCGGGATTGGGCCGCGCCCACGTGGGGGCGGAGCGTGGGCGGTGCCGGGAGCGGGGCGCGGGGGGCGGGTCCCGGCGGCGGAGCCCTTCGCGGCAGGGGGCGCTGGTCGCCGGCCTTGCCGGGGCGGGGGAGGCCAGGTGGCCGCCGGGGGGGGCGGTGTCCAGCTCTGTCGCCGCCGCGGTCCGCGCTCCCTCGGGCGCTCCGCGTCTCTCCGAGGTCGTCCCGCCCCTTCTCCCTCCGGCCACCCGGGGAATTCCGAGCTCCCTGCGCAGCCAGACCCAGGCCTTGCCCGGGACCCGAGCGCGACCGCCAGGTGGCCCCGAGGGCGGCCTCTCCCGGGTGGGGCGTTCGCGGGCATCTCAGACCGTGGCAAGGGAGAGACCTCTCGGAGCGGAGGGACGCGCGGCGACAGCGGCCAGCCGGGCCTCCGGGCTCACTGTCCACGCGGGTGGCAACTGCAGGAAGGGCCCTGACATGGGGCCCTCAGCCACGCGAGTCCTTCCCGCGTGTGGGCAGCCTGACGGCAGCCGGCTGAGCCTGTGCTCGCCCCAGCCGCACTGATGCGAGGGGCCCCCCGCGGCTTCCATTGCCTGCCGGGGGAGGGGGTCCCGCTGTCCTCTCGGGAGGAAGGGGGACGGGGGGAGGGGGACAGCTGCCTGCGTCGCCCCGCTGCCCACCCAGCAGCAGGCGGAACACAGGGGTCCTGCCCAGGTGAGCAGGGCGAGGCGCGGCGCCGCGGCTGTCTGAATTCCGAAACGACTGGCTTCCAAACTGTAAAACCCAGTTTTATTGCCCACTCTAACAACTGACCGGGAGGCGCTAGCAGGGGGAGGCACAGCGCATTTCCTCATTAGGGTTTTACAGTTTACAGCTCGATGTGGTCGCTGGAAATTAAGGAGGAGTGATTCTCAGGCGCGGAGCAGGAGGCCGGGCAGGCTGGGGCTTGAATTCCCTCTGAAGCCAGGCCGGGAATTCCGCGCAAGCAGCTCTGAGCTGCGGCTGGGGAGACCCCCCTGCCAGGCCTTGTCTGCGGACGCTCTGCCCGCCCATCCGCCGCAGGGCTCCTGTGGAGTCCGCTCCGTGTTCCCACGTCGAACTCCTCGTGGGACTGTGTCCCCACCCCGTGCTGTGCCCACACTGCCGGGAAAAACCGGGCAGTCCCCCTTCGGGACTGACCCTGGCTGACTGGAACAGGGCCGTTGCGCCCTGGGGTCCTCCTGGTGGCCTGCGAACCTCTGTCCCTCGAGGGCACAGCTCAGAGCTCGCTCTAGTCTTCCTGGGGCCGTGGTCTCACTGGTTCTGTTCAGGCCTCTCCCCTGGGGCTCACTGCTTCTCCCAACAGATCTTAGGAGGCCACGGAGGGTGGGAGGGTGCTCCCCAGTGAGCAGGTGGGGACACAGTGGAGCAGGCGTCCTGCAGAACAGGGATGGGCGCTGTGGAGCCAGGCTGGGGCAGGGATGGGGTTGCCCAGACTGCCGCACTGTGCCCTGCTGGGCACCTTTGGCCTCTTAAGCAGGGGGAGCCGCTGGGCGGCCTGCACTCCCTGGTGCTGGATGCATCTCTGGACCTCGGACCAGGGCTGGGTGTGCAGATGCTCCGAGCACACCATCAGGAGGGCAGCAGCTCCATCCTGGGCATTGGTGGGTTTTGTGCATCTGCCCAGGGCCCAGCTAGGCTAGACTGGCAAGAGGCGGAGGGCATGGCTGGGGGCTGGGCGGAGCCCTGGGCTCTCAGGGGCACAGGCCCTCCCCTGGAAGGTGGGTGGTTTGCAAACAGGCCGAGGCCCAGGTGGGCTTAAGCCGGCATTTGGCTCTGCTGTGGGCCAGGAGCAGGGCCTGGGAGAAAGTCCCGCCGACATCCGTGGCGGCGCCAAACAAAGGGGCCCTGTGTGAGCTTGGTGTGGGAACGCGGGCCCCGCCACGGGCGTGAAATCGGTGGCGGCCCCTGGTGAGGGCCGGGCGGCTCGGGCGCCCTGGCAGGGACAGTGTGGCTGGTAGGGCGGCCCTGTGAGGCGGTGGGAGCCTACCCCTTGCCCTGGGTTCGCCGGGGTCCGGAGCAGGGTCAGGCAGAGGTGGCCGGGCCTGGCCTGCCATGTGGCTGTGGCCCAAGCCTGTGCCCAGGCTCATCTATGGGGTTCAGAGTCCGGCCACCCCTCACTGCCCACGGGGAGAAAGCTTAGGGGTGCTGGCTCTGGCTCCTACACTGTGCACAGTGGCGCCAAGCTCCCCTGGCCACACCCACGGCCCTGAAGCGGCTCCATCTGAGGACGGGAAGGGGGGAGGGGCCCGGGGCAACGACAGCACTTCCCGAATGTTTGCCGAGGGACATCCAAAAGGTGGACATCTGTTCGAAATGCTGGGGCCTGGGGGCCACCTCCAGCCACCCTGTGCTCGTGCGGAGGACCCCCTGGCGTTTGCTGGTGTTGCTTGGGCCGAGACGTAAGCAGGCAGGGAGCGTTCTGCTGTCTGGGAGCCCCTGCCTTGGGACCCCAACAGGCTCAGCCCCGACTGTGCAGCTGGGCCCCATCCTTCCTCCCTGCCTGTCCTGAGGCTGCTGGCCCCAGGGCGCCCTGCCTGTAACCCACCCACCCCCAGAAGGCAATGGTGGGGCCCCTTCTCCCTGCAGGCACCCCCTTCCTTCCCTTTCCTGCAGCCTCAGATCAGTGAGCCACATGGGGAGGGCCCAGGGAGGACAGCACAGAAGGGGCAGCTGGCCAGAGCTGGGCCGAGGCCTGCGGCCACCTTAAAGGCACTAAGCAGGGAGGGAGGGTGGCGGGCAGTGGGGGCGGGGCTTCCAGCTAATTCATTAAAATGTGTCGGGAGCGTGGGAAAGAGGAGAGTGTTTCTTCCCAGCAGCCCAGACACCTGGTAGAAGGGCTGAGAGGATCGAGATCAAATAACAAACACTCAGCCCGGGCCAGCGCAGGCCGCAGCAGAGGAAGGAACTGCCGCAGACAATCCCTGCGACCATGTCTCCTGCCCGCCAGGATGGCCGCTCAGGGCATGGCCTGGCACCAGCAGCCACAGCCACCCAGTCAGCCTGGGCTCTGTCCCTTGCCCAGGAAGCAGCCTGATGGGTGCTGACCCCTAGAGCCCCAGGCTGGCTTCCAACACGTGGACCCGGGTGGGGACTGGGCAGACGGTCTCCCCGCACCAGAGCCTGGGCCTGGGCTGGACGCCACAGAGCCAGGCCGAGCCTGTGCTGGGCAGTGAGGGACGTGCGGACAGCAGCAGGGCCACGGTGGAAAGTGGGGGCAGGCAGAGGCAGAGCCAGCCGGGAGGGCCAGGAGAGATGGAGGACGGTGGTCTCCATCTTCCCGCAGCCTCTGCTCCGCTCGGCCCGGGGCCCACAGTAGCTCTCAGGCCTGGGCTGGGAGCCGTGCGTGTCTCCAGCATGAGACGGGGCTGGGCGGAGGGTGGGTGCCCTCAGCCACTCTGTCCTAACCCCGCCAGGCAGGAGTGTGGACAGGGTGAGGACCCGGAGTCCCCTCCTGGAAGCAGCATCACAGTCCAGAGCCCTGACCCTCTCCTGGGGTCCCGCTCTGCTCCCCCTGACACCCCCGCCTGACTTAGGCTCAGGCCCCCCAGCTGCCCGGCAGGTCAAGGGGGCAGGTCAAGACTGGACAGTTGGCTCTGACACAGGCCAGGCCCTTCCCGTCCAGCCTCGCCCCTCCCATCTGTGAAATGACACCCCGGCTGGGTTGCTGAGGGCTAAGGGGCTGGGCTGCAGTGCCCAGGGGTGCCCAGGGGTGCCCAGGCACAGTGGCCAGCCCTGGTGTGGTCGGGGCCTACAGCAAGGCCCCGCTGGGCCAGTCCAGGGATGCCCAAGGCCTTTGCGCCCGAAGCCTGCTCCTCACTCTGCTTCTCCCCAGCCCCCAGGCCCCTGCACCGAGGCTTCCGCCCGGGCTCCTCAGCCAAATCCGACCTGATTTCCGCTCCAGGCAGGAAGCAGAGGAAAGGGATGTGGGTGAGGGGAGGGGAGGGGGCACATTCCTGGGACGGCCCCTCCCCGGGCTCCTCCTCCTCTCCCACCTCGGGGCCCCCTGCCCTCCCTGCTACCTGGCACAGCACCCTCGGGTCCTCAGGGTGGGCAGCAGTGGTCGCCTGGGCTTTGTCCTCCTCCCATCCAGGGGCGGCAGCTGTGAGGACGGAGTCGCCTGCGTCCGTGTGTACGAAGCCCTGGCCGTGGCCGGCTGCCCAGGTGCCTCCAGCCGGGCTGTGGCTGACGCGCTCCCGCGGGGACCACACAGCCCTGACGGGGGTGATGGAGAAACCCCACAGAGACCATACGGCCTGATGGGGGTGACAGAGAGATCCCGGGGGACCACACAGCCCTGACGCGGGGTGAGGGAGAGACCCTTCAGGTCCCACTCAGCTCGGGGTCCCAGCATCCTGACCATCTGGAAACCCTCATCTTCCCCCAACAGCTGCTGGGGCTGGGACCCGCCCTGGTGTTCCCGGCACTTCCTGGCACACAGAGGGGCCCACGAAAGGCTTGTGAGGCGAGCATGAAACGTATGAGCAAGTCCACGGCCACGGGCCCAGCACTCGGCATGTTCCATGTTTATTGCCTTGCTGTCCTCAGAAGGAGCTGCCGGCCGGGCTGGGGGCTGGGCTCGGCTCACAGGGGCCCGGGGCGCTCTCCAGGACGTCTCGGAAGTGGGTGGCAACACGACCCAGGTGGGAGCCATCCCAGAAGACCTTCCCACAGCGCGTGCAGCAGTAGAAGTGCCGCAGCCCCGGTGTCCTCAGCACGCCCGCCGGGACCCTGGCCAGCTGCAGCCGGGTGCCGTTGGCCAGCATGTCTGGCATCTCTGCACATAGGTCAGCCGCCTGCAGCCAGCGGCAGGGGCGGTCATGGGTGCTGCCCCCAGGGGCTTCCTCTGGGGCTGGACCTGGACAGAAAGAAAGGGACTCCCTGAGCCCTCAGCCTTCGGGCACGGCCCCGTGTGCTCCTGGGGTGGCCCAGTTGGCGGGCCCACACCCACTCCCCAGCAGCTCCTCCTTCTGCTCCCCATTCACCGACTGTGCCCCTTCACCTCCTCTGTACCCACTTCTCTCATCCAGGGGCTCCACCCCTCACCTTATGGGCCCTAGGGCACACAAAAGCCTCACAGAGCCCCCGGAGTCCCCTCTGCCCAGCCAGGACCCAAGCAGCTGTGTCCTTGGTGAGTGGTCCCAGGGCTCACCTGGCTCCTGCCTCTCCTGGCTGTGGGTGGCCTTGTTGCCTGTCAATCAAGGATGAGAACTGGTCCAGGACCTCCTAGGGATGGGGCTTGGCGGGCACCAGTCACCTCATGGAGTGCGGCCTCTCACTGCACCCTCCCAGCCTTCCAAGACGGGTAGAGGGCAGGGGGCCAAGAAACTGGTGCTGGCCTGGGCCCCTCCCTTGGGAACTCACACCTCAGAAAGGTCTTAGGGCTCAAAGGTCCCTGGGAAACATGTTCCAGGCATGAGATCGGCTGATTAGGGCTCTCGGGGGCCTGAGAACTGGTGGGCGGGGGCGGGGGCAGCCCATTTGTGGTGATGAGCAGATAAGCCCACTGCCAGGGAGCGAATTTCGAAACCAGCCAGCGCAAGGGCGGGGGGGTGGGCAGGGCCCAGGGACTGCCAGGCCCAGGATCTGTGGGAGACCCTGGGAAGTGGCTCGCACTGGCCCTGGGAGGCCCCCGGCCCCCACTAAAAGCCCCAGGCAGGCAGGGCTGGTAGCCACCCAGGGGTCACCGCAGGGCCGAGGGCACCACTGGCCAGCAGGTGGGAGAAGCGTCCGCCCTGCTCCTGTTGACCCTGGTCATTTGCTCAGCAAGCATTTCTCTACAGAGGGCTATGGGTCAGCTGCAGCCGGGGATGAATGCATGAGGCCCCCACCCCAGCCCCAGCCCCTCCTGGAAGCTCAGGAGGCCATGACCCTCATCTGGCCTCCCAGCCTCACCCCTGTGTGTCTGGCCCCAGCTCTTACCCTGCAGCCCCTGTGACACCCATCAGCCCATCTGGGTGCTGCCCACCACCCTAGGGTAGTGTGTGCCGTCATGTCCTGGGGCTGAGGCCTGAGTGTGCCTCTGTGGGCAGGGGCAGGGGTGGGGTGGGGGGGACCTGAGGTTAGGGGCCGCCTCCAGCCTTGCCCTCCGGGGCTTGCTCCGCTGGCCACCCTGGGTGGTGCTCGCTCCCCGTCCTCCCACCCTGACCTTGGACTGACCCCTTTCTATCCACCTCCATCCCTTTAGCCCCCATGCCGGCCCCGCCTGAGGGGAGCAGAAGCAGCATCCTCCACTCCTTAGGGTGGGGGTGGCCGTTCTGCCAGGGGTAGGGGGCACATACTTTCCACGAAGATCTAAAGCTGCAAAGTCTTTGGGTGGCCTCCACCCTCCACAGGGGCAGAAAGAAGCCCTCTTTGTAGTTCCACAGGCAGGGAAACTGAGGCTAGGACCGTCTCTGGGGAGGGTGGACATTTGGTGTCAGCTAGTGATGTGTGTAGCTGTAGGTGCACAAGTGCGTGTGCAGGTGTGTGCGCAGGTGTAGGTGCATGTGTGTGCATGCAGGCATGTGTGTGCAGGTGTAGGTACACAAGTGCGTGTGCAGGTGTGCAAAGGTGTAGGTGCACAAGTGCATGTGCAGGTGTAGGTACACAAGTGCGTGTGCAGGTGTGTGCACAGGTGTAGGTGCACAAGTGCGTGTGCAGGTGTGTGCGCAGATGTGTGTGTGCAGGTGTAGGTGCATGTGTGTGTGCATGTGTACAGGCTAGTGTATGCATGTATGCAGGTGTAGGTGCACGTGTGTGTGCAGGTGTAGGTGCATATGTGTGTGTGCTGGCATGTGTGTGCCCATGCACGTGTGCGTGCAAGTGTAGGTGCATGTGTGTGCAGCTGTAGGTGCACGTGTGTGTGTCTGCACGTTCACCGCGTGCCTAGGCCCAGCAGAGAGAGGGAGGCGTGCACCACTCCAGAGGGGCACCCAGGGCGCCCGCGTCCTGATCTCCTGGTCTGCTACCATACGCAAGGGAGCAGAGACCATCTGGGTTCCTGACCCTGGCCGTGAGCGCTTTTTCCACGTGTTGTCACCTGGCTGCCACCCTAATCTGAGGAAACTCAGTGCTGGGCGGGCCAGGACCCCTCTCTGGCTGTCCCAGCAGGTCAACCCATCCCAGGCCCCACAGACCCAATGCTTGGCCCTGATACACTCACCCGAGGTCCAGGGGCCCTCCTGGTGGCTGCTGAGCCACATGAGCTGCTTCATCATGTCTCTGGACACCTTCAGGTACTGGTCACTGTTACAGGCCTGGGGGCCGGAGGGGATGCCGAGGCTCAGCAGGGCTTCTCCAGGTGTCCCCTGCCCCAGCCCTGTGCTGGCTCCTCGAAGCTCTGGGTTTGGCCAGGGGGCTTCACAGAGACAGATAATGGGTCCCCTACCATAGTTCTGTGGGGTTTAGGCCACACCGCCTCCTGGAAGCCCTCCCTGACTGTGCTGGCCTCTCATGGGCCCTGGGCAGCCTCTTCTGTTTTTTGAGAATGTGTGGGACACTCTGCCCAGATGTGCTCCCCAGTTCCAGAGCCCTTGAGGGCAGAACCAGGTCTGGGTCCCCTCCAGGCCACTTCAGCTTGGGCGTTGGACATGCATCAGCCCCACAGTTGCCCTAGCCGTGACCTGCCCATTTCCGCGTCCACACTTCCCCGTGGTGCCTGTGCCCGCCACTGTCCTGCAGCTGGCGTGCCCTGAAAGTGGCGAGGGCTGGGAGCAAAACCCCTTTGTGCCTCGTCCAGAGCACACAATGGGCTCGCGTGCTGGGGGGGTGGCTGTTTTATTTTTTTAAGATGGGGTCCTGCTGTCACCCAGGTTGGAGTGTAGCAGCACAACCACAGGCTCACTGCAGCCTGAAACCCCAGGGCTCAAATGATCCTCCCACCTCAGCCTCCTGAGTAGCTGGGACTACAGGTGCACACCACGATATGCAGCTAATTTTTGTGTTTTTTGTAGAGATGAGGTCTCACTCTGCTGCCCAAGCTGGTCTTGAACTCCTGGGCTCGAGCCATCTCTGCAACTGGGTTTTCCAAAGTGCTGGGATTCCAGGTGTGTGCCACGCCCAGCCCCTCTGGGTGGTTTCTGAGTGTGACCAACCTGCCAGCCTTGCTGGATGCTGGGGGTGGGGCAGGGAGGCAGGGAGGCTGGCACCAGCTTACACCCCGGCATCCCGACTCGGAGGGGGATGCATAGCTCTTTTAGCAGTCACTTCCTGGACAAAGAGACGGGTCTGATCCTCAGGCTCCCCGGGCAAAGCCAGGAGGGGGCTGGGTGCCCACAGAAAGCCAGGTCGCAGGCAGGCACCCGCAGGACCTGCAGAGGTGTGGCCTTCCCGTCACAGCCCTTCTGATGTCAGCACACCCTGGGGAGGAGGTAGGGCTCCCAGGCTGCCTGTGCAGGGAAACAGGAAAGCAGAGGCCATGATCGTGGTCACATGGTGATTCCAGGCCCCCGCCCCATGTAGGGGCTTTGGGCGAGCCCCGGAAGTGTCTGAGGTGACTTGGCTGCTGCAGGCAGGTGGCCTTGAGGCCCCTGGAGCCTTGGGGTGTGGCTATGTTGGGGGCACCGGCCCTGTCCCACATGCTTTCTTCCCATGGGCCCTTTGACACTGGGAGCTGCACTGCAGCCCCCACCAGTGGAGGGCCTGGGGCTGGGAACGGCGGACAGGTGCGGCTCTTCTGCTAGGAGGCCCAGGCTGGGCCGGGGAGGCAGGACCTCCCTTCCTCTTCCCCCAGCTCCCATCTCTCCCACCAGGAAGCTCCTGTGCTATGATGGCAGGTCCTGTGCTCCGGCCTCTGAGGGTCCAGGGGGCTTCCTGGGGCAGGTGCGCAGGTGGAGAACACTGGCAGCAGGTGTGGCTGGGAAGGGCTGAGAGCAAGCAGGTGGCCCACCACCCGAAGGTGGCCCACCACCCACAGAGCACCCTCTCCACTGTGCCGGCCACCTGCAGCACAGCGCCAGTGGGCATGGGGGGGACCGCAAGGCTGCAGGAGGTGGGGTGGGCTCCTCACACCCCCAAGTTCTCCGCATGGGGTCCGGCGCCTTCCCAGGACCTGGGCCAGGTGCGCAGGCCTGGGCGGGGTCAGCCAGCTCGTGCTGAGTCACTGGGTGCCATCCGAGAGGGCCTGGCCCCACCCTCGGGAACCACTGGGGCTGGTTTTCCCACGGCTGATGCCCGCTGTGGGCCTTGCTGTCACACACAAGGCCCCGGGAGGCCCTGCCTTGGCCAGGGCTGGAAAAGCCGGTTCTGGGCCCGCTGGCTGGCGCCCGCCCTTGGCCCCAGGTTCCCCAGCCACAGGGGGCCTGGCACCAAGGGCCTCCCTGTCCATCTCCTGTCCACTCCAGGGCCTGCAGCCCTTGCCAGACCCACTGCTCTGGGCACCCACTGCCCTCGTGAGTGTGCTGGTGGCCCAGTGCACGCCTGGCCTTCCAGAAGGTGATCATCCACCTGAGGTCTTCTGCCTGATACCCTAAGACCCATCCCCAGCACTCGGGAGGCTGAGAGCCTCTGCCCTCCCATTTTGAAGAGAAGGGGCTTCTGAGGGCTTGCTCAGCCACAGGGCACTTGGTGGGCCAGGACCCCATGCCAGGTCCTCACGCTGCCTCCCTCCCTCAGTGCGGGATGCACAGACACCCACTCCAGGGTGTCATCGGGTGTGGGCAGAGACAAGTGGGGCCTGAGAGGTCCCTGAGCAGAGGCCAAGGCTGCGGGCCCAGAGCAGCACAGCAGGTGGCTGGGCACCTCCACCCCACACCCTCCAGCCTGAGACTTCCAGGGCAGGCAGCCTCCGCATCCAGAGCCTGGCTGGGACGGAGGGGCGCCCTGAGGGCCTGGGAGGGCCCAGGTGAGTCGGGGGCAGGATGGGCTGGGAAAGCTCCCAGCTGCCGGCCCAGGATCCCCTGTGCACCTGGTTCCCACGCTCCTCAGCCGCTGGGTGCCAACACTGCCGTGCCGGCCCTGACGCAGGGTACTTCCGCCCGGGACCGCGTGGGCAGGGTACTGAGCCCATGGGTGTGTGGCTGCCTCCTGGGGGCCAGGCCACCAGCCAGGCTGTCCCGGGATGTTGGTGTCCATGGACCCAGAGCCAGGTGGGTGTGAGTCGCTGCCCACCCTCCACGGCCCTCTCCTCTCAGCCATGGCCCCAGAGCTGGCTGGCTGTCGGGGGAGTTACACCCAGGACCAAGGCAGAGGCCAAGATGTGTTAGGGGTGGGGTGGGCAGCGAGCTAGGAGGGCATGAGGGGTCTGTTCTCAGGGTGTTGGTGGGTCTCTTGTAGGAGCAGGGTTCCCTTCCCAGGCTCCCAGCCTCACAGGCCACTGCCTGCTGCCCTGCACCCCAGGACACGGGTTCCTTACATGCTCTGGCCCTGACAGGTTCCAGGGCCCACAAGTGGGCCCAATTCCCAGCCTACCACCAAGAGTGACCACAGCTGAAGGAGCCAGAGCTGGGCCACAGACAGTGGCTCCAGCAGTGTCTGTGTGCCTGCCTGTCCTGGTACTCACCTGACCTGGTGCCCACCTGACCTGGTGCCCACTCACGGGCATGGGTCGTGCCACTGTCCCAGTCTGCAGTCCTGCAGCTGCGCCAGCCTGTGAATCCCAAGCAATAGGTGGCTGGTGCATAGGTGTGGTGAGGGCGCTCCCAGGCAGACAGGGCTGGGCAGCTGCACATAGCCCCTGCGTACAACACCCCTGGCCCTCACATACCCCTGAGGCCTTGGGCTTGACGAGTGAGGGACTTTAGGGAAAGGGGAAGGCGAGCTGTGAGCCCTGGGACCTGCTAGGGCCAAAGCACCTGGGGAATCCGTGTGGTGGGGTCCAAGGCAGCAGGCAGTGGGCTGTTGTGCTGGGGGCCTGGGAAGGGAGCCTCGCTCCTACAAGAGACTAGGCCAGGTGCCTGCTGGGCTGGGCTGGGCTGCGGTGACCTGAGCCTCCTTCCTGCCTGCTGGTCACCCCCAGAACACCCACAGCCCCTGTTCTCCTGGCCCAGGAGCTCAGGTCCAACCACCAGGCTGCGAATGAGCCCAGATCCCTTGGGTGATCTGGCCTGAGGCCTTTCTGCTCAGTACCCAAGCCCAGCTAGACACTGACCTCCTGAGAAGACGGGGTGAGGGTGGCAGAGGCCTGAAGGGCCTCTGGGGCCACCTGCTTCTGAGCAGAGAGCAGGCTTGTTGCATCCTCAGCCTGGGGGTTTCTTCGCTCCTCCGGCTGGGCCCCGTGGTGGGTGTGGGAGGTGGGGTCCGTTGCCGGGGCCCTGGCCTGGGTGGAACCCCCACAGGAGATGCCAGCCTGAGATTTCCAACCCTGCAGGTGGGTCTAGGAGGAGTCATGGCCTTAGGCCCACCAGGCAGGGAGATGGGGTGGGCTGCAGCTGAGTCACGGGACATTTCATTCATTTAGAGCAAACTGGGGAACGGCAGAGCATGAAAGAGCAAAAGAAAATCAATCTCTTGCTGTCTGGCTGCCCTCCCGCCACATGGAAGGGCCCCCAGCACCCTTTGCCTCCGCATGGCAAGGCTGTGTGCCGAGATCCTCACAGCGGGAAGAGGGTTCTGGGGGTGGATATCACACATTTGGTCCCTGGCAAGCCCCTGGGCAGGTCCCAAGGCCCCAGGCCAGCCCGTGCTCTCTGACCTCCCCCAGAGCTGCCCACCAGATGGTGGGCCTGGGGTGTGGGCCTGACACCTCGTTGGACAGGGCGGGTCAGCGGCCCGGGAAGAGGCCATCAGGTGCCAACCTGCCCACTGAAGCCTGGGTCTGGCCCACACCTCAGCTTCCCACGCTGTCCCCAGAGCTCCTTGCAGCCCTGGGCTGCCCGCCCAAAGGTGACCCAACACTGTCCCCTGCCATGGCGCTGTGAGCCTCCTCAGAGAGAAGGGAGCTGCCAGAGTTTGCCCCAAGAACCTGCCCAGCCCTGGCACTGATTTTCCACTGGAGACAGGGCTGGGGTGGGTGAAAGGCTGAGCCCCAGGCCCCTGGGGAGGTGTGGAGCCGCGCATAGTGGCCGTCTTTGGGGAAGGATTTTAAAACTGAGTCTATGCAAGCTGGTAGCCACCCTCCTAGTGACCCCCGCCCTAATGCTCCCGTCTGGAGACTGTGACTGAGGACGGCAGACCCGGAGAGGCCTCGACCCTGCCCCCTTGCCCCCTGCCCCCCTGCCCGGGGCCCTGAAGGGCAGTTCCCACGAGGCCCAGCCCCTCCCCCACCCGGCCACTGCCGGTGCCCTTTGTGTGGTCAGGACAATGTCTCCACAGACAGCAC